TATGGTATTACTGGGGTGTTCTGGGGGGTTGCTAGGGTATGTTCTGGGTGGTTGCTAAGGGATTGCTGTTTGCTAGATTGTTACTATGCAGTTTACTTTAGTTCTAAATGGTTGCCAGATTGTTGTTGGTTGGTGGGTGGTTGCTATGGTATTACTGGGGTGTTCTGGGGGGTTGCTAGGGTATGTTCTGGGCGGTTGCTAAGGGATTGCTGTTTGCTAGATTGTTACTATGCAGTTTGCTTGAGTTCTAAATGGTTGCCAGATTGTTGTTGGTTGGTGGGTGGTTGCTATGGTATTACTGGGGTGTTCTGGGGGGTTGCTAGGGTATGTTCTGGGCGGTTGCTAAGGAATTGCTGTTTGCTAGATTGTTACTATGCAGTTTGCTTGAGTTCTAAATGGTTGCCAGATTGTTGTTGGTTGGTGGGTGGTTGCTATGGTATTGCTGGGGTGATCTGGGTGGTTGAGAGGGTATTGCTTGGGTGTGCTGGGTGGTTGCTAAGGGGTTGTTGGTAGGTGGATATTATGAGGTTGTAAAGGTATTGCGTGGTTGCTACAGTAGGTTGTACTGGGTGGTTGCTAGGATATTGCTTGGGTGGTTGCTAAGGGGTAGGTGGATACTATCTGTTTGTAAGGGGTTGCTAGGTTGTACTGGGTGGTTGCTAGGATATTGCTTCGGTGTGCTGGTTGGTTGTTAGGCATTCTGGGGGGTCGCTATGATGGGTATTTGGTGGGGTATTAATGGTTGCTAGGTGAGGATGTTAGTGTGTTTCTAAGGTGATTGGCATGTTGCTAGGGTGTTCTGGACGGTTGCTAGGTGGTTCCTATGCAGTTGCTGGGGTGTTTGCTATGCAGTTGCTATGGTGTTCTGGGTGGTTGCTAGGGCTCAAAAAACGTTCTGGGTTCAATATAAGTTCAGCTTTATGTGCAGCATCTGTGTCATTATGTTGATCACCACAGAAAATAATTTCAGCTTGTGAAAACAAGCACAAATCACATTTACAGTAACAATTAGAATGAGAGTCTGCGGGGCAAAAGACAACTACACAGGGAAAACAGTGTGTGGGGTTATACTGAACCCAAATATCCAACTAAAATGCATTTATATGACTTTATATGACCCTCGGAAGTAAATGTACTTCTAATGCGAGTCAGTTTTGTACAAAACTCTGTGGTGTGTAACAGTGTTTTATGATCATTAGACTCTTGTATTTGGAGCTGCAGGCAGGTTTTGTGGTCTGATGCGTTTTGTTATTAGCAATTTTTGAGGTTTGATGTTTTAAAACACGAGGGTCTTCTGAGAAATACGAGCCACGTCGCAGTGTTTTACCGCGGTAGATGAGCCGCCGGCAGGTTTAGGGTTGCGGTAAATCAGGGTTTGTTTAAGCCCGGACTCGATGCTCACACACTCCAGAAAGCTTTTTAAGCATTAACCAGAGGAGCGTTTGAGGAATGTGTGTGTTTGTGTCTGGATCCACTGAAGCCGGATCACATATTTCAGTGTTTAAGAGCCGGAATATCAGTGTTTCCGCCACATTTATAAAGTGTGCTGGAATAATGAAAACAACTTGAGCCCTTAAAGTGCATTTTTACTTTTAGACGGAGTCATAAATACACACACACACACACACGTCCTGCAGTAATTGGTGGTTTAATGCTGCGTGACAGTTAGCGTTTGTCTTTCTGAACTGAAGCTGCGCTCGGAGACAAACAGCAGAACCTGGACGATCATCACGTATGAACACACACTGCACATCCTCGTCACGTCGTGTGTTTCAGGCTTTACTGATCCAACGAACCGACAGTAATAATACCAGATCTCAGAGATGATTATCAGTCTGTCAGATTATCGTCACTGCATGCTTGTGTTTGTGCAGGACTAGGCAGATCATTCCTTTTGCAGAGTGTGTGTGTGTGAGATTGTAAAAAGTCGATGCACAGATAATTTAGTTTGTTTGGATCTCATCTCACAAATGAGACGACCAAGGCATTTTATTTGCTTTTAATTTGCAACAAATCAATGTTTGGTAGTTTGCAGCTGCGCGTCACACACACACACTCTGTGAGTAAAGACAATAAAAGACAGACTCGGTCGCTGTTGCAGCAAACATCACACAGATTTAAAGCTGCTGGTGTAAAAATGACGGTTTCCTGACAGGTTCATCGAGCACATCTGCTTATAAAGCTTTCTGCATAATTACAAAACTACAGCTACAATGATGATCTATACAGTAAATGCACAAACATTCATTTAAAAAAAACAAGGTAATCTACAACTAAACAAAATTGCATAGAAAACAGATGTTTTTGAGTTGAAAATTACAGTCTCTTCAATACTAAACAAATAGGTTTCTAAACAACGTCTAAACATTCAAAAATCAACGATATATTTACTTTAGAAGCAAAATGAAGGAGTAGTTCACTTTTTAAAAAACTTTTGCTGATGATTTACTCGCCCCCGTGTCATCCAAGATGTCCACGTCTTTCTTTCTTCAGTGGAAAAGAAATGAAGGTTTTTGATGAAAACAGTCCAGGATTTTCTCCATATAATGGACTTCAATGGGGTCCAAATGAGAGTTTCAGTGCAGCTTTAAACGACACCAGACGATGAATAAGGGTCTTATCTAGCGCTCGTTTTATAAATAAATAACAAAGTTTAAGGTTTATAAGCTCAAATGCTCACCTTGCTCTGTTCTGTAACGCACTCCTGTTCGAACTCGTTCATCAAAATGAACAAATCTTTTTCCGAGTCATTTGGTTCATTCGGCGAAAGAAACGAACGAATTGATTTGGAAAAAGATTTGTTCGTTTTGTTGAACGAGTTCGAACAGGAGAGTCACGAACGTGCATTTGAGCTTATAAAACTTAAACTTTGTTATTTATTTATTAAATGGCCGATCGTTTCGCTTGATAAGACCCTTATTCATCGTCTGGTGTCGTTTAAAGCCCTTTGAAGCTGCACTGAAACTCTCATTTGGACCTTGAACCATTTGGTCCCCATTGAAGTCCATTATATGGAGAAAATCCTGGAATGTTTTCATCAAAAACCTTCATTTCTTTTCGACTGAAGAAAGAAAGACATGGACATCTTGGATGACATGGGGGCGAGTAAATTATCAGCAAAGTTTTGTGCGCATGTAGCCGATTTGCGTTTTTCCCTCTGAATCTTCACGAGCTGCAGATGTGTAGTTTCCCTCGGACTGATTAGAGCAGGTCTGCATGTGAATAACACACACTCGACACTATACATGCTGAAGGTTTGGAGTGTATGATGATCTCATGAACATGTGGAGCGTCTGCGTTCCATCGGAGTAAACCTGGGCTTTCTCACGGATGATGCCTTACATTCAATAATTGTTTCATTTCTTGCATTCTAGTATTCAGTGCAGATTTCAGCCCTGTGTATCATGCATTTAAACACACACACACATGTAGGGCCCTATCATACACCCGATGTGATGCAGCGCTGGTGTGTTTTGCTATTTTCAGCCCTACGCATTTATCATTTTCTGCTTATTACACACACACTCACACACACAGCTTTAACCCTCAGGTGCTCTTCGGTCATTTCTGACCGAAAGATTTTATGTTTTGAATTTTTAAAAATCACAGTTTCATCGGAATGCTATGAAACTTTGTGACTTTTATGGCATTATGTTTGTGAATGCAAAAAAAAATAAAATAAATTGAGGTCATGTATCGAGCATGCTAAGTGGTCGTAAAAAAAATAGTCACACTTGTGGTCTTCGGTCAGAAATGACCGACCCATAGGAAATGAATGGGAAATTGACAAAAAAACTAAAATTCTCTGAATTTTTGTATGTGCAATCTACAAATCGGCCACGATTCTTAAAAAAAGTACAGCGCAGCAAAGGGGTGACAATCTACAACATCTAGAGTGCAAAACAGACAAACACACCCACAAACACACACATACAAACACACTTTTATACACATACACACCAATAATCTTAAAAAAAAATAGTCACACTTGTGGTCTTTGGTCAGAAATGACCCCATAGGAAATGAATGGGAAATTGACAAAAACACAAAAAATCACAATTTTTTTTTTTTTTTTTTTTTACATTTTTTTTTAATAAAAAATAGTTTTTGAGATTGTTTCAACTATATATTCAAATCCACCCAAAAAAAAAAAAAAAAAAAAAAACGTGTTCATAAACATCTGGGTAATTCACATGCCTCTCAATAGAGAACTGTATACGCCATCTAGTGGTTACACCATGATTCTACGCTTTTTCTCTATACTGTAACCAGATGGTGCTAATTTTCTTCAAAAAATATTTTTTTCTGAAGGCCTAGACTCTATATTAAACTAAAATACCGCATTTATAATTTTTTGAAAAAAATAATATATATATAGAAAAATATATATATTTTTACATGGCAAAAATAGACCATAAATATTGCATAAATATTAATAAATTCAATCAAATTGTCTCAAAATACTAAATTACAAACAATAAATATTATAGAACAAAAATAAATTGCATTGGTTTTACTGGGATGGAGGAAATTTAATTTTTAGGTGTCTGGTCACTTTTGACCGGGAAGATAACAAGTGTGACTCCGAAACGAAGAGCACCTGAGGGTTAACCTCACACACACACTCACAAACACAGCTTTAACCTCGTGCACGAGCAGATATGTTTCCTTGCTAGAGAAGTCATGTAAATAGCGAATCCGCCGCTGCGCGAACGCCACTGGCTTTCAAAGGGAATGTGAGATGAGACTCTGATTGGTTTACTGCACGTTACACCCAAAACACACCCGTCACTCATTAAGAGAATAGAGACGACTCTTTTAGACCAGCGCCGGGAGCGCCGACCATTTGTCCCGTCGTTAAACTAGCAGAAGTGCATTCAGACACACACTAAGTGAGCTTTAGACCATGCGCTTCGATCTGAATAAATAGGGCCCATGATCTTCTTTAGGAAAGAGTGGAGTCAAATGAAAAGCAAATGTGTGTGTTTGTGTTTTTGCAGGTGAACGAGGAGACGGTGGAGAGACTGGTGTTGCAGTATCCACACATTGTGTTCAGTACAGTGATGCAGGACTGTAAGAGAACGCTGGAACGGGCCTATCAGATGGGCTGGAGCCCTAACACATCCACGGCCTCCTAACACACACACAGACACACACACCTGTCCATGACGTCATTATCATAACTATGCCGTTTATTCCGCCTTTCTTTATCAAATGACATTATGCAGCAGAAGCATCAATATTATGCTTTGAGCCGTTTGATTTGAACGTGAATAAATATGTTCATGCACACACACACACTGACATGCAGCGCTGCATTCATTTACATTGACTTATCTCATCAGAAACTTGTTCAGCTCATATTTTACTCTAAAATCGAGAGAGAGATATAAGAACTGCCGTCGTTTGTCTTTTGCATTTTGCATTAGGGAAAAAAGGTTTTGCATTTTGATATTTCCCTGCCACTCACATTAGGTCTGGACGTTTGACGTATATGTTATTTGTTTGTTATTCTCATTATTGTCCACGGTGATTTTCATTAGATTCTCATTACTGAAACACACTCACGTTTACTGCAGTTCTCAAATCAGCACAGCACAGATTCAACCATGATGTAGAAATGTATAATTAATGTTATTTTTTGCATTGCAGTAGTGATAATTTGAGGGTATGTGTTAATTTGCATATGTTTATTCACTGCAAAACAATTATGTTCTTCCTCAGTGTTTCTGTCTCGTTTTCCAGCACAAATATCTAAACATTATTAAATCAAGATAGGAGCAAAATGACTTGTTTAATGAAAATAAATGCACCAAAATTGAGTAGAAAACAAATATCTGTTAATGGGGTCAGAAAAATAACCTTCATTCAAAGGGAAAAAAAAATTTAATTTACAGAAGAAGCAAAATGACTGACTTTATGCTTAAAATAAAATATATAAATAATCTAGTTTTCCCTTGAATTAGGTTTGTTTTGGCAGGTATTAAGCAAAACTTTTTATTGATTTTTTTCTTCCAGAAATCAGGTCAGTCTTCAGTCATTTTGCTTTTCAAATAAATGTGCTGCAAAAACAAGACAAAACTGTTGATATTAATATAAATAATATATCCAAAAATATTGTTCATGCAAAATATTTCTCTCTGGTGATTTTGGGGTGAATGTGTCCTCATAGTTAGAGTTGATTTAGACACGTTACACTTTGATTAGAAACGACAGCGTCCGTCTCTGTTAGTCGAGGCCGTGGATGGATTATGTGTTCGTGACGTAGATCTAGACGTGGAGACGCAGGACGTGATGTCGTTTACTCTTGTGAATCTGTAACTCTGTGGTTTGGAGTTTGTTTGGATGTTAACTGATTTTTGTGTTCAGGTTTTTTGAGATATATCCTCCATATGGAAGTTTGCATACCCTGTGAATATTTGATGATGATGATGGAGTGTGACTTATATAAGAGATGCCGAGTTTGAAGTAGACAGGTTAGTTAGGTTACTCATCCACACGTCTTCTGTTTTCTCTTTCAGACGAGCAGGGTATTTTTATACGGTGTCCGTAGCGCTCGCTCGTGAATGCAGGAAGACTTTAGTCACAGTCTTGATCTTTTACTGTACTGGGGATTTGAGTCAATTAAAAACCACGATTCTACTCCACGGGCTCCTGGTGTCATTTGAATCGAGCGAGTGTGTGTGTGTGTGTGTGTTTGAGAAGGAAACACATCTGAGCGACGAGAAGCTCTGGATCTGCTGAAGCTTCACTGTAAAAAAAATATTGTTGGTTTAACTTAAAAAAGTACTGTAAGTAACCTGGTTGCCTTAAAATTTTAAGTTGATTGAACTGGAAAAAGTGAGTTAATACAATGAAGGAGATTAATTTAACCATCAGAAACTCAAAATAATAAGTTATCTCAACTAAAAAAATTATTTAAGTTGATTTGACAAAAGAAAAAAATGTTGTGATTACTACACTGTAAAAAAATAATGTTGGTTTAACTTAAAAAAGTAAGTAACCTGGGTTGCCTTAAAAATTTAAGTTGATTGAACTGGAAAAAGTGAGTTAATACAATGAAGGAGATTAATTTAACCATCAGAAACTCAAAATAATAAGTTACCTCAACTAAATAAATTATTAGTTGATTTGACAAAAGAAAATATGTTGTGATAACAAATCTTGAAAATATTTTTTTTACAGTGTAATCAATAAAATTGTGGCAATATATTACAAGCAACAATATTAATTAAATTGTACAAATTAGAATGAATTAGAATATTAATTTGATTAACTATTACTCAATTCTAATTTGTTCAATTTAATAAATAATATTGCTTGTAATCTGTTGCCACAATTTTATTGATTAGATAAAGCATATTAATTTTTTAGATTAATTTAATCATCAGAAACTCAAAATAATAAGTTTTTATTATCTAACTCAATAAATTATTTAAGTTGATTTGACAAAAGAAAAAAATGTTGTGATAACAAATCGTGAAAATATTTTTTTTTACAGTGTTCTCAGTCGTTCGGCATACTGTATGTTTGCTTCAGACTCTGTTTAACCCCTTCGCTGTCACCCTCCTTTTTTAAAATGCACTATTCAAACTTAAATTATTATAATTCAAGGATGCTTTGGAATATACTGTATACCCAAGTTTGGTCTTGTTTTAAAGGAAACATTCAGCAGATTATTGCTGAAGTGAAAACACTTCAAAAAATGAAAGTGTGAAAAAGTTGTGGAAGTTTAAATTTACAGTAAATCAAATATACTGTACTTTTTTATTTTATATAAAATATATATTTTACAATTTTTTTTTTACTCTAATTAAATTAATTTTTGTAGTTTTAATATTAATAATATAAATTTTATATATTTTTAAATTACTATAAAATCAAAGCCATAAATATAACCAAGTTGTGGTTATGTTCCATGTCCCAAATTTGAAGTTGATATCACAAAAATTGAAGTTCATAAATATATGTACTGTAACTGTATTTTTTAAACTGCATTTATTTTATGCTGATTTAAAATAACTGTGTTGCAGTATTTCCTTTTACTGTAATGCATTGAATTACAGTAATGGAAATCATAACTCAAAATATGATAATCTCAAAACGATAACACACTTGGACAAGTTATTGTAATTAATTGTTCTTAATTGTCATGGAAGTAAAGTCATAATGCAAAATGGTCCTAAAATTAGTTCTTTTTTTGTTAAGCCAAATGCAACTTTTTATTAAGGAATACACTGTAAAAAAATATTGTTGGTTTAACTTAAAAAAGTAAGTAACCTGGGTTGCCTTTAACTGGAAAAAGTGAGTTAATACAATGAAGGAGATTGATTTAATCAGAAACTCAAAATAATAAGTTATCTTAACTAAATAAATTATTATAAAGTTGATTTGACAGAAGAAAAAATGTTGTGATTACTACACTGTAAAAAAAATATTGTTGGTTTAACTTAAAAAGTAAGTAACCTGGGTTGCCTTAAAATTTTAAGTTGATTGAACTGGAAAAAGTGAGTTAATACAATGAAGGAGATTAATTTAATCATCAAAAACTCAAAATAATAATTTATCGCAACTAAATAAATTATTATAAAGTTGATTTGACAGAAGAAAAAATGTTGTGATAACACATTTTTTTACAGTGTAATAATAATACTTTTTGTTTTGTGTTAAATCAGGCAAAAACGTGCTTTATTTGCTCTTAGAAGTTTCTTTAGAGTAAAACGCAGACATGATCTGAATGAGCTGTGATGATTTTGACTGACAATATTCAATATTGATTCGCCTGTTGATCATAACCAGTCCATTTCGAGGATATTTGTGAAGGTTGAAAGCGTCTGTTTGACGTCTGATGAGAAACGGCCTCCACTCCAGTAATTAGATCTCTAAATATTCATGTGGTCATTAAACTCTGAGCGGGTTTTCAGAACCTCTGACCGAAGAGGACGTTTGTCCTGTCGCTGTGGAAGATCATACACGTGAAACTGGAAAAATTAGGAATATGGTGCAAAAGTTCATTTATTTCAGTAATTCAACTTAAAAGGTGAAACTAATATATTATATAGACTCATTACATGCAAAGTGAGATATTTAAATGATTTTTCGAGTTTCGCCTGTAAGTGTGTGAATCAGAGAACAGTGATGGGAATACAGGACCTTATTGAAACCTGTGTGTGGTTCCTCTCATGTGTTTCAATAATAAGTGTGTTTTCCCCCAGACTTCGTGTGGGTTGGATGATGTTGGAGACGGGAACTCAAGGCTGATGTCCAGCGTTGTTGAAGGCGATTGCTGTTGTCATCTGGGTTTAACACACACGTCGTTCCTGAAGGCTAAATTGAGGCCTCGGAGAAATCTAGTTAGCTTTGTTTACCGACCTTTCCTTCAGTCCGAACGCCTCGTCGCCAGACACACGCGATCCAGCGCTCGGTACATCAATATATACGTCTGACCTTCTGAGGCTCTCACTGGATCTTCTGATGAGTTTCAATGCAAAATATTCATATAATATCTGCGGATCCAACTCCAGGTTTCTTTGGTTGTTGATGTTTAAAGTCACGTGTCCAACCAATTAATCTGTTACTAACATGGCTAATGATTAATTATTACTTATATATATATATGTATATGTATATATATATATATATATATATATATATATATATATATACATACAGGTCATATATAGGTATATATATATATATATATATATGAAGAGTTCAGATGCAAAAGCCTCTAAGTGCCATTTGAAATTTTCTTCTAAAATGATCATTTTTATTAAGCTTGTATATTTAAGTTCAGTGATTTCACTTAAATGGCAATGAAGATTACCTATTAATTGTCATTTAAGTGAAATTACTGAACTTAAATACACAAGCTTGATAAAAATGGTCATTCTAGTACAAAATTTCAAATGGCATTTAGAGGCTTTTGCATCTGAACTCTTCAAATACAGGTATATATATGTATATATGTGCCTATATAAAAAAAACACCATTATTATGGTAAATTTTATTATACTAAATACATAATAAAAGGTATACAGTATAAATACTGTTTTATATATGAATAAATAAATTACATACATTTATTTACTAGTATAAATTAGATAAATTAGGCCTGGAATTTATATAGATCAGTGTTTATTAAATGTATCTATTTCTCTACAGTATTTTAGCACAAACACTTGATAATAGTAGTAATGATTAATAATTAATGTTTATTTAAATGAAATATGTTTTATATGATTTATATATTAACAATGTTTATTGTGTATATCTTTATTTTTTTGTATATCTTCTCCATCCAAATATTTTTTTATTATTATTATTATTTAGATTTGAACAAAATGAATAAATCTAATATAAAAAATTGATGGATGGATGGATGGATGGATGGATGGATGGATGGATGGATGGATGGATGGATGGATGGATGGATGGATAGATAGATAGATAGATAGACAGACAGACAGACAGACAGACAGACAGATAGATAGATAGATAGATAGATAGATAGATAGATAGATAGATAGATAGATAGATAGATAGACAGACAGACAGACAGGTGGATAGAAAGGTTGATGGACGGACGGACGGACGGATAGATAGATAGATAGATAGATAGATAGATAGATAGATAGATAGATAGATAGATAGATAGATAGATAGATAGATAGATAGATTATTATTATTGTTGAATGCCATCATAGTTCAGCTTCTGTGATCTTTGATTGACAGAATGCAGCAGATTTAGAGATCGGGTCGTGTGTGTGTGTGTGTGTGTGTGTGTGTGTGTGTGTGTGTGTGTGTGTGTGTGTGTGTGTGTGTGTGTGTGTGTGTGTGTGTGTGTGTGTGTGTGTGTGTGGTTGTTTTCCTCGTGCCGGTAAAGGTAAAGTCCTTCATCTCGAAGGTTAATGAATCTCTCTCCGCACATTCAGATGTTTACAGTAAGCTGACATTTGTTGCTCTTTTTTTTTTTCTTTTTTTTTTTCTTTCTGAATGTAGAAACGCTGTGAAAGACGGCTCGATTCTCATGCAGGACGAGGCGCCCGTATGCAGATTTGGGAACGGATGACATTTCAAAGTACTTATTTGTGCAAATCTTTGTTTTGGATTGTAAAGGTCACACAATGAGTCCCACTTTCTTCATTTAAATAGAACACGAGGAAAACATGCAAAACACACACCGTCACCACGCCAGGAGCCATTAGATGAGTGTGTGTGTGTGTGTGTGTGTGGGAGTGTGTGTGTGCGCGTGAGTGTGTGAGTGTGAGTGTGTGTGTGTGTGTGTGTGAGTGAATGTGTGTGTGTGTGAGTGAGTGTGTGTGTGTCTGTGAGTGAATGTGTGTGACTGTGAGTAAACTTTTTTTAATTTTATTTCCCGGTTTATCATTTATTATTAAAGTAATTGATTTTGTCCTTTTTCCACACTGTAAAAAATATTTTCAAGATTTGTTAGCACAACATATTTTCTTTTGTCAAATCAACTTTATAATAATTTATTTAGTTCAGATAACATATAATTGTTAGTTTCTAATGGTTAAATTAATCTCCTTCATTGTATTAACTCACTTTTTCCAGTTCAATTAACTTAAAATTTTACGGCAACCAGGTTACTTACTTTTTTAAGTTAAACCAACAATATTTTT